AGATAAAATTGGAAAACACTTTATTTTTCATAGTAATTGTTTAAAAATTAATTGAAAACATTTAACAAATAATAATGTTGAACCATTTATCATCATCCTAACTAACACTTAGTAAAAGATGGAGATTTAGTCTCACTAATATTAATAAGGAACACCGTTTTGATCGTATAATCTATAAATTATGTTCATAATTTAAAATTTGAGCATTAATTTCAAAAACTTCGAGTTGCAAATACTATGCAATCATCTAGTAGATGTATCATATCTATTAGATACAAATAATATTTAGATGGTCAACATTGAAGGTGATGGAGCCCATGTATCACTTTAATTAACTTTCAGAAACATAGAAAATCCAGTCCCGATTTTAATTAGTGATGATTAATTTGGATTGAAAAATTTCTAGTTTTTCGTTGAATGTTCGTTGAATCTCAATTTTTTATCATTATTAATTCAGTGATGGTCCAACTGGTCATATCAAATAATAATACATTCAATAATTGAACTTTTGGTTCATTATAATATTTATTTCAACTGTACTACACATTTTAGAAACTTAGTATGTTTCTCTTCAATTTAGTAGATAATAAATTACGATCAATAGTAAAAACTTATTCTCCCATATAATGCAGTATTGACTCTTACAAAGTATCAATATAATAATCTTCTGAAACATTGATATATCTTGGTTGTGATTACCCGCAAGTGATAGAATAATATTTTTAGAAATATTGATATATTTAAATTAATCATAATATCATTTTAAAATATTAATATGTATAAATTTGTGTTTTTTCAATAATACAAAACTATATTATTTAAGAATAATAATATGTATTATTTTTACTTTTTTAGGAGCAGATAATTTTTTTTTGAAATATTTATGTAAAGTGTGCTGTGTGTTCTTAAAATATTTTTCTAGAATATTTATAGATTTGTGAAGTTGTAAGTATGCTAGAATAAACAACTTATTTTCATAAATTTTTTATATAGATTGTGCCTCGGTTCATATTTTTTTTTGAGATATGTGCTACTTCTAAAGCACAAAAAAATATTAATATTATCATTTTTTTGTTTAAAAAATGATGTTACTATTGTTTTTCCATGAGCAATTGATTAACATTCTTTTAGAATATTGAAATTGTAATGTTATATTTTGCCAAGAACAACGACATGAAATTTGTCTAGAATATGATATGAACAAATATTATACATTTTCAAAAGTAATAATATAATATTACTATTATATAATGTTATGTATGAATTTGTGCTTCTTCAAAAGTAACAAAATAATATGAATATGGTATTCCTTTTCAAGCAATGCTATAATATTATTTCAAAATATTGATTTAGATTATTTCTTTTCAAGAATGATAATACAATATTCTTCTGGTATATTGAATAAAAAAATTACATTTAAGTAAATATTTATTTATCATAAATCAGTATAGTCAAATCGGTACAATTAGATCGAATAACTATACCTCTTTGCAATTTAAAATTAAGAGAATACCGACCTTTATTTTTCTCAAAAAAGAAGAGTTTCATTGTAAATTCAATTTGCTACAACTTATTGTCTTCCTTTGATTTAAGGAAAAATGAATTTTATATCAATTGGCCAAAGAGTTATAAGCAAAAAGATAAAAAAAAAAAAAAAAAAATTGCTAACTCAATTGGTTAGAACTACGTGCTGATAACATATTATAAAATAGAGAAAAAGGGAGAAAAACGTAGATAAGTCAATAAACTTATGTGTATTTTACTGAGAGCCAAAGTTCCATATTTATAAGGAAGAATTAGACTGCAAAGGATATAATAGTCATAATAATTAGGCCTGTAGTAGTATATTGGTCATTCACTAATAAAAATATAATTTACAACATCAATAATAAATTTTATTATTTTTTATTAAAATCTATTAAAAATTCGATTTTATACGGAAGTAAGAACTTGTTTGGTGGAAATTAAAATTAAAATTTTAATTTAAGCTAAAATCATCAGTTAATTGTAACAACATATTTTAGAACTCACAACTTTTTAACACATATTTCATCTACTTTTATCAAAATTTACTAATAATTTGATTTTAATCACTACTTAACAAATGAGGGCTAAGTAAAAGTAAAACATGAGGGTATAATAATTTTCAGTTTTCTCGCATAGAAGGGCCATATTCTTTTTAAAATTTTCTCAAGCTATTTATTTCTAGGATTAATGGTAGAATATCCCCTGTAAACATTCTCATGTGTGATATACCCCATACCTATTGAAAATTGTAGAAAACTCCCCAATTCAACATTTTGTACGAAAAACACCCATATTGTCAACATCCGTATGTTTTGCCATTAAATCTCAGAAAAATGGGGAAAATTGATAAATAATGAAGGGCAAATGCTTCTATACAGATTTTCATCTTTAATAAAACCCACCCAAAACCAATATTTTCTTTATTTCCCTAATTTCATTAATTGACACCCATTTTGTATCTTTCGTACGTATCTGCAACCACTTCATCCTTAGCTGCGATGGACTCTCGTATGTGCAGATGCGAAATGAAGATTGAGCAGAAGACTTTGTGAACAGCAGCGAAACCGGGAATAAGCTTCTTTACATGCACACAATGCCTGGTAATGGATACCCGAACACAAATTTTGAACTATTTTTTTACTGAGTATGTTCAAGCTTTCATTTTTTTTTGGATTTTTACAATAAAATAGTTTTTTTTTTTGGATTTTTACAATAAAATGGAGGTTGTGTGTACTTTTCATGGTTTGACCTACTTATGTACAGTAGATATGTGGAGATCATGGCCAAAAGGAGATCATGGTTTGACCTACTTATTAGTGAGTTGGTTGGATTTTTATGGGAATGAAACACCAAATACGAAGACCATGGCCAAAAGGATACTTTGTTTGACTACTAGTCCATCCGATTGTGAAAGAAACTGGAGTTCTTTTGAAGGGGTAAGCATTAATTAGGTTGTTACATTTTACTTCCTAATGAGTGATGAATAATTACGTGAATATGCTTTGCTCCATTAAATGTATCTTTCTTTTTCTTTTTATTTTGTTTTGTAGATACACACGAGGAAACAAAATAGACTTGACACTACTAGGATGAGCAATCTTGTCAATCCAATTTAATGCAAGATTGGCAAACAATAAGAGGAGGAAGAGAAAAATAGAGATTCTATTAGCAAATGATACAACTAATGCACAATCATGGATTGTAGATGGTTGTGATGATGATGAGGAGGAGTATGATATGGTGGAAAATGATATCTTACAACCTTCGCGAGGTACTAGAAATGTTCAGAATGAAATAAATGAGCCTGATGAATAGGATTTTGTATCGGATGATACGGATGACGAATTAGATGAAGAAGAGGATATTTAATTGGAGTTCGATAAATAGTTAGATAAAATTTAAGTTCCTATGATATTTATTTACTATTTAGTATTTTCATTTGAAACTTATCTTTTTGTTGGAAACTTTTGAAAAAATGTATAAAATTTCTATAAATTTATTTTAGATATTTGATATGTATTATTTTTAATTATTAAGATCCTATCTGTTACTAATTTTTTGGTCCAAAATCTTTATTTTTTGACCGTTTAAAAGCAACTTGGTGCCCACTGATGTGAGGAAGACGTCAAA